CTCCCAAATATGTCACGTCCAGGAGGAGAGGGATTGTATCTCTGGGACATTATTTCTTCCTTCTCTTTCAGCAACTGAATGTATTTCCTTTCTATTGTCTTTTTGTTGGAAGCTCTCCATGGCCGGCATCACTGCCCTGGGCTACAAGAACAAGAAGATAGTCAGGCAGAGCTGGTTTTGAGCTGGTCAGTCGTCATGTCTGGGGACCTCTTAACAATCCAAAGGGCTTTTCCTTGAGGTCCAAGTCAATAGCTAAAGCCCTCCGCCCCCCGCGTCATGCCAGCCCACTGCGTGCTTACAACTTTCCTCTGTGTTTGGCAGCGGTAGGCCATAAATTAGAGCGTTCTACGCGAACAGACTTCACTCACAGCACATACATGGGTGCCATGACTTCAAAGAACTGAAGCACTTAGCTTAGAGGAGCATTAGTGTAGACCTACCCCCATGACTAAGGCCCCCCAAAGTGGACATTTGAAGAGGCAAGGGCTGAGTTTTCCGAGAAAGCGAAGACTCAGGGTCTGAATTCTTCACGAGTGAAAAGGTTTCTGAGTCAGAGGACAGAAATTGGCAGTGCTCCATCAGGGATAGAAGGAGGACATGTGTCTCAGTGACAGCAGGAAAACTTAAAACTGAATTTAAGAAGTTCCTGACAGTTAGGGTTGTGACCCAGAAAACACATTGCCGCTGTGGCCTATGGAAACTCCTGCTCTGGAGAATTTAAAGCAGAGGGTAGACAGCTGTTCTGGGGATGTTTTCAGCGTGGTTCCTCTGGGCAGCCGGGCTGACCTGATCTAAGCTGTCTCTTGAGGTCCCACTCTCATTCCAGAATCATGTAGTATTTTATTTCATCTCCTATACAGTGACAGGAAAGACATGTGGTAAGCAGTGCATTATGCACAAGTAAGGGCCGGCTGATTGCTGGGGTTGGAGCACCTTCACTGCCCTCCGGCCAAACCATACTTCCTTGTGAGTCTAGGACTGGTCTTCCCAGGTTATTGGTGCTCTTTTGGCCCTTTTTCTTTCTAAAAAAAAAAAAAAAGGCAAGACATAGGGGTCAGTATATAGTGATAAAGATCAGAGCTTTTATTGAGTGCTTACTATGTCCCTGTTACTACTGAGTGTTACTATGTCCCTGTTACTACTGAGTGTTACTATGTCCCTGTTACTACTGAGTGTTACTATGTCCCTGTTACTACTGAGTGTTACTGTGTCCCTGTTGGCGTGCAAAGCATTTCCCATGGCCTGTTCCATTTCCTTCTCCTCACAGCCCTCTCCAGTAATGTTCTTATTAGACCCATTTTACAGACGGGGAGACTGAGGCTTTAAATGATGGGTGAGTGTTAGACAAGGGCTCCAGCCCAGATGAGCGGCCACGCTCCGGCGATTCTGCTCCTTTGTGCGGTGCTTTCGGCTAGCAGCTGTCTCAGACACAGGCCTTCAGTTCTCCGAGCCTCTGCTTCCTCTCTGGTAAAAATGGAGAAAATGGTACTTGCTTCACAGACCTAGATTTCACAGGGAAGATTATATAAGAAAAGGCAGACGGCGCTTCCTGCACGACTTCTGGCACACAGTAGGTGCTCAGTGAACACCAGTTCCCTTGCCCCTGCCTGTCCCGTCCCCTCCCTGGACCCTGCCCGGTCTTAGCCTTCCCTTCATGACGTCCTGCTTCTAATCAGGCCCCCTCAGCGACAGGCAGGGACGTTTTGCGGCTCAGCGTCCCTCTGACTGATGTCTACTGCTAATTCCTTAAATTTACATATCATCTCTCTTCCCTCGAGCTCATAGCACTTAACAGACAAGTGGGGCACAAATGATTTAACTAAGTGAAATCCAGAGGCCTGCTTGTCTTGAGATTCTGCAAACTAGTGGATTAGCTTAGATGTCAGCACTGAATTATGATCCTTCAGCTGCTCGTGCTTAGCACACCACCAGCATTAACTCCCCGGTCTTCCAGTGGTCCTTTAAATCATGCGGTGTGATTATCGTCTTACTGTGAGAGAGAGAGCAGAGGAGGGGGAAGGAGGGGAGGAGGGGGCTAGCTGGGGTCCGGGGCACAGTAGCCTGGGAGACCTTTGGCCTGATGGTGCCTGAAGTTTTAGTACCAGGATGGGTAAACAGAACAGACCCAGATAAAATCCACCTCCACACACATTTCACTTACTAAATTCTAACCATTATGCTATGAATCCCCTGCCGCTTAAGAATGTAAATTCACACAAGTGACAGTATTTCTGCCAAGCAATTTTCAAGCAGCAAGTGGGTCTTATTTGTGAAACTGTGAAGGAAGGAGGCTGAATAATAAATCTCTGAAATCTGGTTTCCTTTCTATCTGAGGTGGAAGCAGTCAGGGCTTGGAAATTATTGGAGCACGGGAGCATCGGAGGGTGGGGGCGGGGAGGGTCTCACTGGTGGCTCCACGGTGTGTCCCCAGGTCACCCTGTTATCATCAGCTCTCCTCTCCTTTGAAAGGGGCGTTGGCTCAGGAGAGTGGGAGGGAATTGTGAAGAGATTATCTGAATCTGTGGGATTAGCAAAGGCTAGCTGATTCTTACTCGGTTCTTGTGTCTCGTGAGAATATAGAGCCTCCTATCGTTCCTTTATCTGTGTGTTTGTCATTCATTCATCTGTGGGAACAAAGTTTTCTTGAGTAGCAGCATCTATATATCACCGTTGAGGGGCAGGGAGAAGCAGCAGAGTATTAACCCTTATATGTGTAAGCCTGGGACTCTGTCATCTCACTGTAGCAAGGGGAAAGACCCACGCGAACCAGTTAAATTACAGCGTGAGGCAGTGGGTGGTTACCTGCTGAAATGCATGAGAAATGGCCTCGAGTCTTTCTAAAAACAAGATCAGTGGTACAGTCAGTAAAATGTTCGAGTTGTGGAGACTAAAGAGGCATTAGCTAGAATGTGCCAGAATGGGTAGGAGAAGAACTAGCGAAAGAGGTGGGAGAGGTAGAGTGGTAGGGGAGGGAGGGGTGGCAGGAAGGAGAAGCGGGAGCAGGGGCGGGGGTGTGGGGGGGGGGGAGCCCAGTTTACCTTGAATAGAGTGTGACGATTGCCCGGATGTGGGGCAGGTACCTGGGGCACAGCTGAAGCGAAGAACCCACTGCAGAGGTGGAAAACCTGACGTCAGGTCCAGCTGTACTCCTTACCACCCTCTCTACTTTGGACAAGTCCTTTGAACCTTTCTGACCTCCATGTCTTCGTCCTGTACAAGTAAGATTCAGAAGATAGAGCTCTCACAAGCATTTAGGAAGGATTAGACGAAACAATGCATGTGAATGTGCTTTGGAAACCTGCAAAGCATTCTGCAAATATGACTTATAATTATTATCATTAACAGTGGTAGTAATGGGATCTGATAGGAGAAGCGTAGGTTTGGAAGACCTTGGAGTGTCTGGTTGCAGACCCGTGTCTCCTCCCTTGGCAGATCACCACCTTTGAAATGTGTGCTGTGGACAGCTGCCCGGTTATCTGTGCTGCCTCTGGCCTTGAAGGGGTCTCCTGTTGTGGGGCTATTAGACATGTGGTTCTGGATGGTTAAGGAGACAAACTGGAATCCCAACTATGCATCCTGAACTGGTCTGATTTGACTTCAGGGGAGGGTAGCTTCTGGAGCAGTAATCCTAGCGAATCTAACTGGAGGGGCTTGTGGGGGGCGGCCAGGAAGGAGGGAGAGAGATGGCTGTGGGAAAGAAGGAAGGTGCTGTTTTGGGGCCAGTGACACGCTCATTGCTAGAACAACGATGTGAGCAGGGGTAGCAATGGTAACCTGTTGATTCAGGGCTCTGAGTTCTTGCCTGTTCTCCCCTGACAAGCCCAGGATGTTCACGGTCCCTGGTGAATAAGAAAGCTGGGTGCGTGTGTCTCAGATTAACATGATCCACAAGGGTCTGATGTGCTGGCTGTGTGGTGTGAACATCCCCCGCCACCTTGCGGAAGTGTTGGGCATAGGATGTTTCGGGGCCAAAAGGAGGCGGTGAGATTGTCTTCTCAAATGCCACCCTGTTTTCTGTACAAGTGGCCAGAATGCTCCTGTGTACGTTGGGTTTGCAGGCGCAGGCCCCCATACCCGCGTCTGCAGGGCATGGGGTCTGCAAATGGCAGCAAGACCTCCGTCTTCTGCACGGTGTCTGATGTATTTGCAAACTAATCAGCCAAAAGGCCCATCCTCCAAACATTTGGATGGGTGAAACCTTCATTTCCCATCCAGTGTATATTCTCTATTAAACACGTAGCCTTCATTAGTGATGATGACTGTGCCTGTTCTCGGTGGAGCTGTTTGCCTGGCTTTCTGAAAAAGGCCAATTCTAGCCTCCCCGGGCTGGACAGGGAAGGGAGTAGGGTGTCCGGCCCCCCTGGCTCACCCCCACCCCTCCACAGCCACCATCCCTTCTTCCGCTTGAGGTCGACGCTGGCTTCTGACAGTAGCTAGAGTCCAGGTACCACCTAGGAGCATGGGTGGAGACAGACGGTGTTAAATGTCTTCCATTTGGCCAGTGCCCAGCCAAGATGACAAAGGCCTGAAGCATAAGCCACTGGCTAGAATCATCTTCCAGTCTAGCAGCCACCTCGCCCCCTTAGAATTTAGTTCATCAGGATGCATTGGCCCTTTGGGTAAGCCAATGGTGAATAAGACATGGGTCTGGCATCTTCGGTTCTAGGGGGGGAAGACAGGCACAGACACCACCAGCCAAGACGTAAGGCCAAAGGCACCAAGTACCGTCTGTACACAAAGACACTGAGAAAGTGATACGGAGAAATAGGCAGGAAAGACAACCTGACCTCAAGGCTCCCAAAAAGCCTTCAAAAGGGAGCAGCTTTGGAGCCCAGCTCTTAAGCTTGAGAAGAAAACACAGGGCCTGGAGAACAAGGACATGAATAAGCAAGACCCCCAAACTCTGGTTCCGGCTTTCTCCGGGCGGGGAGGGGGGGCCACAGCCGCAAACTGGTCTCTTTCCCCAGGGTAATGGGAACCTCTGGGTTTCTTTCCCACAGATGACAGGAATTTCTTGCGGCTGCAGAGCGATGGGCGGAGAGAGGGCCAGTATGCCCGGCTCATCAGCCCTCCCGTGCACCTGCCCCGAAGCCCCGTGTGCATGGAGTTCCAGTACCAGGCCACAGGCGGCCGCGGGGTGGCGCTGCAGGTGGTGCGCGAGGCCAGCCAGGAGAGCAAGCTCCTCTGGGTCATCCGCGAGGACCAGGGCAATGAGTGGAAACACGGGCGGATCATCTTGCCCAGCTATGACACGGAGTATCAGGTAGGGTGGTGACGGGAGGTGGGTGCAGAGATCCCGGGGATCTTTGTGATCCATATTTCAATATTGCAAAGGGCCCTGCCCATTCATCATTAGGGAACGTGGTTAAGCGCCGCTGTTTTCATTGTGTTTCTCACATTGCCATGGCAACTAAATGACACTCTTATTTGTTATTCAAAATGTGCCTATCTCTACACCCAGACTTGGTTCTTTGTTCCTCCTATTGCCTTTTATATTGCTGAAATCTTCCCAACAAATGTTTCTTCTCTCCATTGTAGTTTAGATTGCTATCAGGTAGGCTGACAAAGGGACACAGAAGCCAGGGAAATAAACCCAAACCAGCCTCCACACACGGGGGAGGAAGGCTGCCGAGCCCCCTTGCACTCCAAGAAGAGGGGAGAATCCCGCCAGACCTGTCCCGGGGCACGTGGGCGAGGGAAGGGGAGGGTGGCTGTTTGCACTCAGTGGCCAGCAAACCAGAAAGACTCCTAAATGAACGGTTCCTCTCCCCACCGCTCCAGGAGTTGAGGTTTATTATCTCTGCCCCACAGAGCGAAAGACTGAGGCACAGATGGGTATGCACAGCTGTGGCTGAGGCTTGGGTAGGAGTAGACACACTGTGGAAGAGGTGACTGAGAACCAGCCAAGGCATTAACCTGCTCCTCCCCAGACGAGAAGCAGCAACAGACGGCTGGTGAGGCAGCCAACTGCTCGCTCAGCTTGCCAGAGGACATGTGCTCGTTTGCAGAGAGAACCTAGGGAGGGTGAGCACGAGGAATGATTGAAGACCACAGAGCAGAGGGGCTTCTGCATGCAGCCGGCAGTTGCTCTGGAGCTTGTAAGGTGTCCTGAGTTCTGCCCCACCCTGGCCTGCGTTCCCATTTATAAACCTTAATGCACTGTATTGTAAGGACCTGTTTGCATTTTCGTCTCACCCGTCAGATGGTGAGGATCTCTGGGCAGAGGTTGGACTTACGAGATTTTGTAACCGTCCGTGTGCCTGGCACATAGTAGGTGTTCCGTCAACTACAGTGAAGGAAAAAATCCTTTCCCTCCTAGTTGTAATAATGGAACCATAAGACAATGCTATGCCCGAGGCAATCCAAACCCAGCGTACTGTATTTCTCACCTTACCCCACCTGTCATGTCCTCTGAGTTACCAAATACCTGGATTGGGCATTTGAAAGATTTACGAGAAAGGAACTTCAAAAATGGCTAGGGACATTTCAACCCTCCTTTAAACATGGCCTGATTCCGGTCCTTTTAATCAGTATGTTCCAGTTACTGGACAACACTGTCCATCACCTTGTTATATGTATTTTTAATCCCTTCAGATATGCATTTGATTTGAACCAACTCTTTTTAAATTAAGATTTCAAGTACCATAGCCCTGTGGTCAACAGATGTGTACCAGGTACAGTCACACACACACACACACACACTCTTTAAGCTGCAGTTAACAGAAAACTGGAAATCTTTGCACTCTTTGAACCAGGGAGCTCGGTTAACATGGCCCTTGTTCTTCTGGCTTCTAGATTGTGTTTGAGGGAGTCATAGGAAAAGGACATTCAGGAGAAATTGCCATTGACGACATTCGGATAAGCACTGATGTCCCACTGGAGAACTGTATGGGTACGTGAACACCTGTCTCTTTGTGGCTCTTCCAAACAAGACACCGGGGGCTGGGATATACAAGAGGAGGCAGCACGCCATTTTCAAACCCGGTTGTACCCAGTGGGTAGAACAGCAATGGTCTATGCAGGAGGTGAGGAATGAATGTAGTTGTAGCTTAGGCTGCATTCAGGATGGGAGGGGTGTGAAATGAGGTGAAGTCTTCTATCTCCTGTTCCCATTCAGAAATAGACATGCACTAAGTATATGGAAACTCAGGGTGGCAAGACCCCATCATCAGACTCCAGCTTTTAGCAAAGAAAATGCTAGAAGATGAGCACAGCTGCCAGTCAGAATTACATGCTGCAAAGCTTTGATGTTTTTAATGGAAGCCTTCACTGGTGAGCAAAAATAGTACATATGTTATATCTGACTGATAACACAACTACCCAGGTTGTTCCTTTACATGAATGAACTGCAGGGCAAACTATGGCAGGTGAGGTAAGATTTTAGAGTTTGCTCCGAAGCTAACAGCTTCAATGCCCAAGATCCCAGAGCTGTAAGATTCAGCATTGCATGCCAGGTGACCAGCACAGGAAGGACAGCATGGCTGTCCCTTTGGACAGAAGTGCTGAGCAGCCAGCCCACAGAAGATGCACACATTTTACCCAGGTCACCCCCAAGGGCATCCTGACCGTCTCCCATGGGAGACATGGACATTTCCAAAAGCAAGAGGGAATCCTGAGAAGGAACGGGACCTGCTTTTACTAGGCAGAGTGACTGTAATCACTCACCGAGAGCTTTTCTTGGCACATGGGTCCTGGATGTGTGTGTGCCTGATGATGTCAGAAGCACCTGGGACCATCCCAGTCCCTTTAGGCCCCAGGCATCTAAACGTACTCCAGGCTCTGAGAAAGTAATCAGTGGTAAATGACTGATTACAATGCTTTAGAGACCCATTGCTCTATAAAGAACTTTTTGTTCCAAAGCAACTTTGAGACTTTCTCACCCCCCTCCCATCCTGTGATGATGATGTGTTAGACAGTCTAGAGCATGAGGTGGACATGGGGACATTTTCCATGGGGTATTACAAAAAGTCATCTTCATCATACCTTACACCTGCCCCATTATTTCTTCCCCTTATCTAACTCAATATTTTTTCTTCTCTTTTCCCCAGAACCCATCTCGGCTTTTGCAGGTGAGAATTTTAAAGGTAAAAAAAAAAAATTTTTTTTTTGCATGTCTTTTTCTTCCACCCATGTGATGTGAATTTGGTGTGGGGAAGGAACCTCCAAACTTGACAGATCTCTCGAGAGAAAACAGACACCACACCTTCCCGCCACTAGATGGCACCAACAACACCTGTAGATTCCCAGAAAGAGGATTGAGATCTTCACTGTCTCTTGTTTAATTAAAGTTTAGAAACCTATAATAGAGACAAATAGGTTACAGATAAACCTTTCAGCCTTGCATTGTCCAACAGGGAACAATGAGGCTAAAAATGCATGAATGGTGAGAAAGGAGAGGCTGTGGGGGAGACTGAACAACAAAAATCAGTAGTAAATTAAAAGTGAAACGAGGTGGCAATGATTTATTTTCGCCTGAAGATGGTTTCTTTCCAGCTGCAGGGCACCAAGACAGGGGTCGCAATGAGCCCCCAGTGAGGTGCAGTGGCAGGCGGTTTTGCGAGCGTAGAAAGTTAGGGAAAAGACACAAGGAGTGACGGTCCTGAGGAGAAAGAGTTGCAGAATTCTGGAGCTGGTGTCCGGTGAAGGGGACGAGGAGGCATGTTTGTCTCCTGGACTTAGAGCATTTAAATACAGGACTGAAAACCAGAACAGGACATTTGCTCCCTAACAAAGAGCAGAGCAGAGAGAGACAAATCTGGGATGCTGCCTCGTGGTCGGAGCGAGGGTGGTGGTGACGGTCTGTGCTGCGGGGGGCGGCGGGGTTCGCCTCCTGCCCTCCTTGAGCTCCAGTGCTTGACACCGATGAAGTTTCCACCCAGCTGTCCAATGCTGAGTGTCTAGAAGGCCCTCGAAGGGCTTCCATTCTGTTGCCCGGGTGGCAGAGCACACACCGACACTCCCTCTCACCTGACCCCTGAGGGTTTTCATACGAACAGCAGCGAGGCTTGTTGTGCCCTCTTTGTACCAGCTGGCCTTCACCCCAGGGGTGACAGCATTCCAGAGATAAGGAAGTCATTTTTATATCCGAAGTCTAGACTCGTTATCTTCGCTCTCATTAATCTGTCCAGCTCCTGGCTAGAAAGAGATGAATTCCCGGTTTGCCACCTAGATGTGCTTTTGACTCCAAATCATCTGGCCCAATTTTCCACTCATCATCCTCTAAGACAAGGGGAGGGGTGGCGGGAGGAAGAAAGTGGCAGGAAAGAGAATGACAGACCGACACAGAATACAGTTTCTTTCTTTCTCCCCCGTCCGTGCCTCCCGAACGCCATCCCCGCTCCCCACGGCACATGTGAAGTATGGAGTGTATACCTGGGCCTGTGTTGATGCTCTTCGGTGTGTGAGATTTATGTTAATGCGGGTCCAAGTGTGGGGAGGGAAGCTGAGATCCGAACTGACTCACTTGGATCACAGTTGAATTCAAGTTCTTGGAATTCCAGGACCCAAGGTAATGTTTCTGTGGGGCAAGTCAAACCTGCTCGTTAAGACTCCAAGCTCCCAGGAAGGCTGGCTAAAGACTGACAACGGGCACGCAGTGTTGTGTGTGAGCCCGCATGTCTGAGTCCATGACTGACAGGTACAGGGGCTAAGTGCTTTGCTTCTTAAGAGATTCAATGATGCAGGGCACATGTGCTGTTCTTGAGGCTCTGTTTACCGTGAGGCTTCACAGTCTGGTCATGTTCCCTTGTACAAAATATATAAATAAAATATCATCAGAGCTGCAGTGCTCACTTAGCCAAAATAAACACAGGGCTTAGTGACTTGAAGGTAAGCATCTCCGGCACGCTCCTGATGGGCTGATTCGGGGGTTAAGCAAAAGCAGCGCATGGGAGGCATGGATTGGCCCCTGACTGTTGTCTCTGGAGAGAGCAAGTGTTTTGGAAGAAGGAAACTAAGTCTTGAGGGGCAGAGACTTGGCCAAGGAACGTAGAGTCAAGGGCAGGATTGGAATTGAAAGTGGACAACTTCTATCACGTTGGCAAGTTGTACGCGGAACTCGGAGGCCGTAGCAAGGTGAACTCAGGGCCGGTCTTCTTTTGGGCCGAGGCCCCTTTGACCTCAGCATGCAAATCTGGGTTTTGACTCAAGGAGAGCCTTCTACTGGGGAGAGGAAAGGGGATGGCCATTTGCTCTGTCTAACCTAGTGAGTGACCGGCATAGCGTACCTCTCCTGGTCAGTGGCAGCCCCAGTGGGGGCGTGGGTGTCCTGGGATTAAATCAGCCTTTTCACTCAGAAAGGCAAACAAAGAGAAATCAGGTTTGGGCAGGCAGGATGTGGAAAGTTGATGGTGTAACGCTAATAACAATAGGCGGTTACATTGTTAGTATGGCTTTTTTTTTGGAATCCCGGTTGTTTTTCTTTTCCATTATAAATTAAGCATGAGACAGAAGCAATCTCATTCTTTAGGAGAGACCGATGTGTACTAGGTAAATCTTTAAGGAAATGCAATAAAAGTGGCCTCTGGGCTGGGTCTTATGAGGTATTCTTGATCTTTTATATTTGAAAGTGTCTTTTATTCTCTGCCTCTTACTCATTTCTTGCCATGAAACATTTTCTTTTTATTCCAGTCACCTGTGTGTTCTGCTTAGTGTGTATACTTTGATTGAAAACCAGGGTGTGAGTCCGTAATGAGGAGAAACAAGCCATAGAGAAAAAGAGAATGTGTAGAGAAGGAACAAGGAGGAGAGAGAATGAATAAGCTGCGTTGTCATGTGATTTGTAAGAAGACTTTTGTTGTTGTTGTTATGAGTCACATTTTAAACAATGTAGCCTGGGTGTGCATTTTTTTTCTTCCTTTCTTTTTTTTTTTTTTAAGCAGCGGCTATAACCATAGTGCCGTCATGTATCTTTTTCTAGAATTTGAGTTTTAACAAATGAAAAATTGTATAAAGGAAAAGAAAAAAAGAAAGAACCAAAAAGTGGTATAATTAAGATGATGGATTATTTCCTCTTAACCAATACTTTCTTTTTTCAGTAAAAGACAAAAGAATAATAAAGAAGCCAGTAAAAATATGGAAAGCCCATGATCAGAGCTCTGTAGTTGTTGACCAGGTGGTTATTTTTAGCAGCTCACAGTAGAAGCAAGAGGTTTTGTTCATGTTAGAGGCTGGGGACTTTGAACAACGCAGGAGCAGAGAGACTGGGTCTGGTACCTTCCCCGCTAGAGACCCATGGAAATCCCAGGCACGGGTGCACTCAGGAGGGGTGGTTGTTACAGTAGAGGATTCAGAACCTCTGTGTCTACCACTGGTGGATGCTAAAAGGAACATCAGTATCTCTTACTAATGGCTGTGAGCCTGGGTTTTATGTGTCAGACCAGTTCTGAGAGCTATAGGGCCCATCTCTGGGTTTCACGCTCCACAGTCCTGCTCCATTTTCCTCCAGGTAAAACCAGGAGAAAGTGAACATCTCAGTCATGAGAGAGACCGTCCGGGGGTAGCGACAGAGCTGGCTGGGGTTTGCCTCGGGGTTTAAGTTCTGTTTCTTTGGTGCCAACTGGTCCATCTCTGCCCATCTCTCCTCTTTTCCCCCCATCCTCATTCCCCCACGGGTCACCCCCCAGAGGCATCGCCTACCAACGTAGTGTCCCTCACCCCAGGGCGCAGGACCTGGGGTTGGCCTCAGATTCCCTCTCTCCTTGGCTTCCCCGCTCTTCTCTCCTAGAAGCACTTCCAAGAGGGGGTGCGGTACGAAAGGCAGAGAAGTATTCCTGAAGCCTGCCAGGGTTCCCGATAGGCAGCTGTGGTGTGCAATTCTTTCTCCTCATCCCCAACCCCCCCGCCCCTGACGTCTCCAGCTGCCAGATTAAGGCTAGGTGTTGCTGAGCAAGGGAGCATGGAGATGAGATGTGTGTAAACCTCGTCACTGCTTGGCTGCCATTGCTTGCCTAAGGGGACACCGAGGCATTCTTTGTGAGGTTTGCTCGCGCAGACTGCCTCTCCTGTCACAAAGGGGGCTGACGCGCCCCTCCCCGCAAGCGTGCCTTCATCTAAACAGCTGCCAGCATCACTTTCTCTAAGGGGAGAAGAACAGGTTTTTTTACCGACTTTCCCTCTCTCCAAGAAGTGAGTGCCACCGAAGAGAAGGGTCCGAAACTGGCAGCCACCAATCTGAATTTAGGGCATTTTGGAGAGATAGGGGAGCTCAGTGCAGCGTCTGCTAGCCTCGTGGAAGCCTCCCGAGGACCCACCCCGCCCCAAACACTGCTCATAGGCAAATCGAAGAGCCATTTCTCAGGGAGATTTTGTATTTTAACATTCTTCTTCCAAACAGATCAGTAGGCGTGACCACATTCTTCTACTATCTTCTGTAAACTCTTCTAGAGGAGGCAACCCATTTTTTTGTTGTTGTGTGTTTAATCTCACAAACTAAACAAGCCTTTTATCTGAAATACTCCTTCCCTAGCACCTCATTTTCAACCTGTGCAGAAAGGACTCTGCAGACAGGCCAGGCCTAAACAGTTCTTATTTGCCCTGAGCCTTTTTTCTTTCTTCTGAGAGAGATGCCTCACTGTTGGTGTCCTTCAAAACATTTCTTTTGGAGACCTGGGGGACTCCTCCAGGTCCTGAGGACATTTGATGGGCTTAGCTGTGGGAGATGCTTTCTCTTTACCATGATTCAGCGGGAACTTGACTGAGACAGTCGAGGGAGAGGACTACTTCTGTCCCTTCCCAGCTTGGTTAGGACGGGGCTCTGCATAATTCTGTAAAAGGAGAGACCGTCAATGTGTTGGGTTTTAGGAGACTCTGTGTCACAGGTCCTCAACTCTGCCCTTGTAGCACCGGAGTGGGCATAAGCACGAGGTAATAAGGGCGGCTTTGTTCTAGAATGGACAGAAATAGGCAGTGGGCCAGAGAGGTTATCTGAGCCCTGGGTTCCCGCGCTGGTCGCAGATTCGGTGCATGTGCTTCTGGTCCTGACCCTGCTACTTATCAGCGCTGTGAACTTCCTCCGAGGACTCTGCTCCCTCTGAGCATTTTACTTTGTGCTCCTCTGCCCTCTTACTCAATTTTCCTCCAGATCAAACCAGGAGAAAATCGCTTGTCCTCTCAGATCCTCAGGTTTCCCATCTGAGGATCACGAGGAATAAACAAGGTGATTCATGGGAGGCCCAAAGCCCCACACCCAGCACTCAGGAAATGACCGCTCACTCTAGCTGCTGTTCTGGCCACGTTTCCCAGTGGTTATTAATTAGTAACCCTAGTTGCACAATAGGAATGGAAGGAGCACTACCCACTGTGTCCTTGTTCCCCCTTGGTCTCCTCCTATGCATGGCTTCTTACAATGTATTGTTTGTCACAATTCAAATTCTTTGCCTTTGCATTGCCCCCTTTCCTCCAGGGAGCTTAGAACTGTTACAGATGGAAGCCTGCTCAACCTTGCAAATACACTTGGCGTTATTGACTGTTTAAATATCTGTTTCTCATTATCTCACACAATGAGAAGACTTTGTGGAGAATTAGAGGATGGTAATTAATGAAAAATAGTTCAAGAGTTGAAAGCATGTTCCAACTGGGGCGGGGTGGGGGAGGGGATGTGAGTAAGTGGTAAGAGTTAGTGCAATCCAAAGGAACGTTCAGGTTAGCATGTGGCCAGCTTTGGACAAGGCTAGAGTCTTCCCCACACTCTTTCTCCCATGTTGGGGGACCAGCCCAGGCTCCTTTGTTGCAAAGCAAGGGCCCAGTCACCCCACGTGACTGAGGGGACAAGTGGGGCCAAAATAGAGCCAATCACCAACCTAGGGGCCTGGTACAGGTGACATTTGTCTGAAGGGGGCCCCTTTCTTGCAACTTCACCTAGAGCCACAATATGAGCCAGCCAAATCACTAGCACTTTCCGAGGATAACTGCTACGTGAAGTACCAGTGGGTCATTAATGTTTTCCAGGGAATCTGGATGTTGTTTCAAATACATTCCCCCATCCATCCGTCCGTCCGTCCGTCCGTCCGTCTGACATTCATTGGATTGCTGCTTTGGCAGGACATTTAGCCCCTACCGGTCTGTCACCTTTCCTCTATCTGGCAAAGCAGAGCCTTAGTATGCAGCCCTCGAAGGCTGCCGCAGAGCCAGATTCCACACCAGCGACCCGCCTGCCTGTGGGAGTTGAGTCTCTTTAGCTGGAGAATGTTCTGAGAAACTCTGGCCCCAACTACGGGTCCCCCAAAATTGCCTGCGAGGGATGAGGGGAGAATTGTGAAATGGATCCTCTCTTTTCTAACTCCCTTAACATTATAAACACAAACTCATGTAGCATGTTTTCTCATTTCTCAAAACAATTGTCCAAGGAAGACATTTAAGGAGCTAATATACTGTCCATCGCTGTCTACAAAATGGCTTTTGTCATGAAAATTTTCTTCGTGTTGATAATGTGGGGGGAGAGGAGCATTGGCAGGAAAGGGGAAGCGGGTCTTCTACCAGATGTGGGGTGTGTCTTGCAAAGCAGAGCAGAACTCTGAGGCCAGAGGTCTAGCTCTGACTCTGAACACGTAACCCACGTATTACGATTTCCCCTCCCTCTGGTGGGCCCCCAGATCCTCCCCACCATGCCCCAACATTGTCGCTATCACAAGAAACACTCTAGGAGTAGCATTAAGGCCCAGCCCTGGCACTCTGAGCCTGGGGGGGAGGCGGTGTATTTAATGTTGAAAAGCAGCATCTCGACTGAAGGAAAGCAAGCCTTTGAGCCTGAGACAATGTGATTTGGAGGGAAGGTGGGCAGTTACGACTTTTCCACTCGACGAAAATGTGTGCTCCTACCTCTGGGGTCTGGTCAGGCGCTTTGTTCAGGTGGGGAGTTAATCCCTGGGGGCGAATCCCCTTCCCTTCTCTCTCACTGTGGAACCAAACTGAAATCAGAAATCAGAGGCAAACCCAAGGACGCCCTTTGGGGAGAGGGGGGTGGCCCCGGGGAACGTCAGCCCGTCCCCACACACTTTGCTGTTTCTCGTGCCTTCTCCTGAGCCCACGTGCAAATCCAACAGTAGGACAGTTGCCAGGCAGCAGATACTCTTGGTGACCTGAATAATGCGTTGACGCCAGTTCACTGTGGCTCGCAAGCTGGCCATTTCAAGGAGCCATTTTCAGCGCCTTGCTTTCTCTGTTTCTGTGCATAATTTTCAACATGGTCACAAAGATTGACAGAAAGAGGGAGGGGGAGGGAGGGAGATAAAGAGCTTCCTCAGCTACAGTAATGAAATTATTAAATGACAGAAATGATGTGGGAATAAAGAAAAACAGAGTAGGTGGTCATGAAGAAGACAAGGTAGAAAGGGGAGAGTGGGGCTGTTGATGTGGCCGCCGCTATGTCTGCGGTGTGACACATCCCTGTCAAAGCTCTTCCAATACCGCGGCACTCCTGAGGGCCCAAGAGGCACCGACAGATCCTGCACCTTAGCGGAAGAGGATCCCTCACACTGGGGGAGCCAGTGAGTAAAGCCTGGGGGGGTGGGGAGACTCCAAAAGATATTCCAAGAAAAAGGTTCTCCTGTTTCTCCCACTTCTGAGAAAACATCCGAAGGTCTGACCCACCCCTCAGCCAATCCCCAATCAAAGAGAGGCATTCTGGTGTTCAGGCTGAGGACTTGGCCAACACTGACCCCCACATACGAGTCTTCACCTCAGAAGGTCTTTTAGTCATGAGCACCTTCTTTGTGCATACCCTGAGGTAGAAATCAACGGGAGAGCGAGTTCTTCTGCTTGAGGGGCTCCAGGTCTCGTGGGGGAGGCATGGAAATATAAATCCGCCCTGGCTGCCTCTTGAGCAGAGAGATCCACCCACAGCGTAGGACCAAGGATGGATGAAGAAGGCATCGGCCCCTCCCAGCCGTGGCTCTCCCTGGGGGGATCCCAGGGATAGAGAGGATGCATCTTTCTGGCCACCACCAGTTGATGTAAGCAACTAGGGATGTAAGCTTTCATAGGTTAAGCATTCATCATTTTTCAGAAGTAAAGATCATGTCTGGTTTTGGCAAGCTCCAAAGCTCCTAGTCCCGTTCTGGGCCAGATTCTTATCTGATGTAAATCTTTGGGAGAATCAAGTTGTAGCACTGTTTTGCATCAAGTGGGACTCTAGCCAGTCTTTCCCCAGAGTTACCCTGGGCTTACATCTGCTATATCATCTCCATGGCAACCAGAGGCTGGCCAGTGAACGTGGTTGCCTTCGAAATCCTCTGCTAGCTTCTCTTCCCTCCTCTGTCTTTTCCGTGATTAAGAATGATCTCCCTGCCTTGGCTCTCACTCACTCACTCTCTCTCTCTCTCTCTCATACCCACTGTCATTTGTGCCCACATTTTTTTTGTTGCAGCGTCTTCCCAATCAGGTTTTAAGATCCTCTATCCAATTTAAAAAAACAAAAACAAAAACGAAGATGTGTTAGGCATGGCTTGACAGTGATAACTGACCTGTTTAGACAAGACCAGGCTGATTTCAATGGGCATGGAAGCTTTGGCAAACCAAAGTGGAATTCACCTTTAAGTCTAGCCAGCCTAATTAATACACTGTCTAAGAATGCTGGCCAACCAGACCAAAAATTTCCACCCATTCAGAGAATCAGCCTTACGGAATCCCGGAACTCATTTCAGCATCATTTACTTGTGTGCATTCATGTGTGTATGTATGTGTGTGACTTAATAACACTTCTATCTATGATAGAGTAACTGTGGTTTAACAGAAAGAAGAAAAGAGCCTTGTAATCACACAGCTCTTGGTTGACTCCCATACTTACCTACTTACTTGCTGTATAACCACTGTTCATTTAACCTCGCTGAGCCTCTGTTTAGAACTGCATCTGTGAAATGGGCCCGACAGTACCTATCTCATACGGTTGTGAGTGGGAAATAATATCAATCATTTAAAAGTGCTTGGCACGAGTGAGATACTCAGTACCATCTTGTTCCCCTGTCCCCTTCCCTATCCACTCCAAAGCATGTATGTGTTTCTCTTTTTTTGTTTAATTCGTTTTTTGATCAGTCTGCATGCTCTCAGCCTAGCAACACTCTTCTGTGTCTCTCCACCAGGGGGCACCCTCCTACCAGGGACCGAGCCCACAGTGGACACGGTGCCCGCGCAGCCCATCCCAGCCTACTGGTATTACGTAATGGCCGCCGGGGGCGCCGTGCTGGTGCTGGTCTCCGTCGCCCTGGCCCTGGTGCTCCACAACCATCGGTTCCGCTATGCGGCCAAGAAGACCGATCACTCCATCACCTACAAAACCTCCCACTACACCAACGGGGCCCCTCTGGCGGTGGAGCCCACCCTAACCATTAAACTAGAGCAAGACCGCGGCTCGCACTGCTGAGGGCCGAAGCAAAGGACAGCACCCAAAACAAACGAGAAAGACTGCAAACACGTTGCCTCGATTTTGCACTTTTTTCTCCTCGCCTAGTCTCTGTGTGAACTCTCAGACATCTCTCTCTCTCTCTCTCTCTCTCTCTCTCGGCCCAAACCCTGTGTGCTTTTATTCATCCTGACCATTGTCCTTGGGTCCTTTTTTTCCCCCCCTTTTGTTGATTCCAAACCAACCACCCCCAACTCTAATGCTGCATCTTGGACTATGAGAAGAGATACACCCCTCAGCACTTCGCAACTGAAGGCTCAGCTGGTTTTCTTTCAGAGACTGGTTCCCTGTTTCTTCCCCTTGCCTTATCCCCTACCTCCTCTCGGTGGGCAGTCTGCCAGGAGACTCGAGAGGAAACCTGACTCTGTGTGTTTGTACATAGTATACATTTGTGTGTGAATAGCTCTGTGTGTGTGGGGGGGGGTGTGGGTGTGAGAGAGAGACTGACTCATTGTGGGGAGTAGTGTGTGTGGGTGTGTTCAGAGAGGACCCCCTTTAATTCTTGTGTTACTTCTCCGGGGGTACATGTTACAAGAAAATAATATACTGTACTAGTTTTGTTTACTTGGAGAAGAGATTGAAGCTTTTTGTTGCCTTATCTAGCCCTGGCTGGGTTTCTGTTGGCTACCATTATCATCTCCAGGTACCTAAAAATCTAGAGGCCACATGAGATGAAATGTGGCCCCTCCCCTCCCTGTCCCATTCCCAACCCATCTGACCCAAGAGGAAAGTCCCCCCAACGCACTCAGACATGACCCGTTGTCATGTCTCCTGGAGTCTTTGAAGTAGCAAGATGGCAGGCCTTCGGGTGTGTGCAGAACCATCTCGACTTCCAGCCCTGAAGCAAATCTGTCTCATGTTGCCTTATAAAAGAGAAGCTCATAATGAATGTTTAGCTTTTATCAGTTAAGTCCAATCTTGGAATAAGTCATAAAGAATAACAAATCTGAGACTGGCGTAGGAAAAGCAGTAGCCTGTTTTAAGTTGGGAGCAGGAGGTGGAGGAGAGAAGGGAGGAGAAGGAAGGACTGAAGTGTGGTCTTTTAAAAGTCTCCTTACTCGGGGGGGTTGGGGGGCTTATTGTGCCCGATTTGGGATGGCATTGAGGAAGAAGGTTAAAAATCATATTCTTTGGTATTCTATTGGTCACTGTAATAGCATTTGTAAAATATGGGGGAAAGGGATCATTTGCTTTCCTTTCGTGGTGTTAATGTGTGCCTGAATCTATAGCCACTAAAACATAAGACTGTCCACCTGACTTATTTAAATATTATGAGAATATAAAAAAGTAATCATTTTTTTTTCACGCGTCAGTATGCTACCCCTTAAAGCATTCGTAGCATCTGGCAAATACACCCTCATAGGCTGGCCTGGCATTTCCAGATGTTGCTGCATCAGGAGAGGATATAATGAAAATAAATCTGTTGCTGCCCATGTGTCTTCTCTAAGCAACGCAGGGAGAGGGATGTTGGAGATAAATTGCCTAATGATATTGCACAAAGGATAGATTCAATAATGAAGTCAATTTCATTGATAGGAAATGTGTATTTTAATGAGATGCTCAGCGAACTGGGGCTCAGCCTTGGGGGTGTTGATTTCTCACCCTCCTGCTCGGAATCCACCGGGGAAGGATAAGATTCTCTCCAAAGATGGTTGCCTGGGCTGAGAGCCTCCAGGTACCTTCTGAGAACAAAATATTAATTTTTTTTGACTGCTTGGGAGAGAGAGACTTTTAGCATTCTTTCAGAATATACTGGTAGATCCCTCCAGCACACACTCACTTTCACATCTGGCTTTTTTCATCCTTCTGAAAGAAAGGTGCTCTCCCACTCTTATTCTATTTCAAAGAGCTACTCTGTCTCAACCACAGCAGTGCTGCCAAGAAAAGAAAAGATGAAAGGCCAGAGCATGAGCTACCTTGAGATTTCAAGTGTCCTACCCCAGCCGAAGATGGAAAAAGAAGCCAGGAGAGGGGGAGGGGCAAGGGCCCAGCATACCGTGTGATGAATTCCATGCCAGTCACTAAGGGCTTTTTATCTCAGGTGTCCACATCCAGTTGTGCATTTGGGGCCAGGCGTTCCCTCGAAATGATTGACATCCCTGTAGGCACCCTGTGGAGGGGCATGGTGTCAGGAAATTACACCTGGAAAATCCAGCCAGTGTAGCAACTGTCTGAGTTACTATATACCCTTGAGGATTTCCCTTCTTTAAAAGAAGATGACAACAACTTTGTGCATTTGCTGTGTCTTTATCTGATGCCCCATGTGGCATCATCTTTATGTACATGCCATAGTTGAAAATATGGGACTGCTCAAATCTTTGTGAATCCCATGATGCAGTTCAGCTGGGGATGTCACATCTCCTCTCTCTCTCTCCCTCTCTCTCTCTCTGTGGCCCAGCAACTTTCATAGTATTATCCAGGTACTATGCTCAAAGGGCAGCTCTTCTATAAAATCATGCTTCGCAGCTTTAGAAAGCAAAATTCTGTATTTCATAGAGGGCGGGGAAGGATCACTCTCTTCTAAGAAAAATAGACTGGACAGGTGAATGCATGCATGCATGTGTTTAGAGTTGCTTCTCAGAAGACAAAGAGGTGATAGCAACTATTAAAATATAAATGAATGAATGAATGAATTGAAGTTCTAACTTGGGCTGGTAATGTTTTTGCCTTAGTAGAGGTTCCATCTCAACAGCTCCAGGAGGGAAACCCTTATCTCTGGGGTAAAAAAAAAAAAATCCCTTCCTTGATATTATGCTAACAACTGCTATCCCCCTAATTGCTGGTGAAGGCAGAAAAAAGAAAAAAAAAAATCATAGCATTGTCGTTGACAAAACAGGACACTGAAAATAAAGTGAAATTGTCTTTTCCCTTATCCCACATTTTTGGGATTAAAGCCAGAATAGGATAGGAAATCCAGTAATATTTCCAACATTGATACCCCATCTTTAAAAAGACCCTGTCTTTCAAATGAAACTAGCAGGCAAGCAAACACCTAAGTAATCGAAAATTACCAAAGAACAACAACAAAACAAGAAAACTTAAAGATTTTTACTTTCTATTCTTATTCCCTCTTCCTATAACTGTGACATCTCTTGCATTGCTCAGTTGCCTGTGTGTCAAAATAACTTGTGGACATTGGAAACTATTTGAAAATGTATTGTGTGGAATGTAATAAAATGATGATATTTTTATACAAACATCTGGGCTTTTTTTTCCACTTTTGCCTCTGAGAACAAAGTTGAAATGTAGGCTTTGAACAAATTGATGTTTCCAAAGTTTGCATATCGCCTTCTGAGCTGCAGGGCTTTGCTGTGGGAGGTAGGTGGGTTTTTCTCCTTGAGGCTGAATGCCAGCTTTTTCTTCTTTTATTTTTATTACTGCTTGTTAGGAGTTTTATTCAATTTGAGCAGCTGAGCCAACTTTTATGATTGGTGTGGGATTTTGCAAAAGTTGCTAAGTGCTAAATTGCTCAGTGTGATTCCACAAAATTTCTCTTGACGGCAAATCCCTGGAGATTGGACTCTCCTGTCAAGGGGCCCCAGGGGGAATGGGACCAGTGGAGCTGAATCATGTTCTCGGCCCTATGGAGACAGATAGCTTCCCCTGGAGAGGTAGCAGTGACATCATACCCCTCGCCTACCAAATTATTTCTTCCGTGGGGACATTGATCTCCAGTTTATGGAGATCTCCAGACAAAATGGGAACTTACCGCATGTTCAAGGCTCCAAGATATTCCAGACTTCATTTTGGAGCAAGTAATGAAGATAATTATATGATGACTATGAACCTGGAACCATCAGGCTGGAACAGTTTGTAAGAGGAACTTTCTATAAAAACTTCGAGAGGGGCTTGGGGAAACTTATGCAGAAAGCCAGATTGTGTTGACATGTATTTTTCTTCGCTTCTCCTTTCTGAGTAGTTAGTGATTAGTTATATAAAATATTTCTATCAGTGGGGGGCTGGGGGGAAAATGTAGGAAATACCACCTCCTGGCTGTTTAATGCTTCTAAATGGTGGTCAAGAAGAAGTCGTAGAAGGATTTTCCACCGCCGCCGACTCATGGGGTGTATTAAGAGCATTCCATCAACCCAGGAGCCTTCCTCAGGGGTCGAAGAACCATCCTTAAAGGTCCTAAGGAAAGGGACATGTCCAGAAGACCCTCTTTCCGGCAGAGTCCTGCTTTTTCCCCTCAAAACCTAGATTCAGGAAGGAGTATTTTTTTTTTTTTTTTACATCTGTAAACCTGTCCAAGTGGTGCTGAAAGGAAGCAGGCTTTTGGTTTTCAGATCTTACAGGAAACTCTGTTCGTACAGATGGCTCAGTATAAATGTTGCGATCTGTCCTCTGCAGGAGAATAGAGTAGAATGCCCAAGCGTTGTTTGTTACTCTAATGACAAAGCATAATTACCCTTTTTGTCTAAATAACCCTTGGCTTTCCTTAAAGCCATTTCTTCCCATTAGTAAAGGAGAAACGGAAAGCATCTCAAAAGTACTTATGTCAGGCAAAGACCCAGGCTCAGTCAACATTTTCCTGAGCTCCAGGACCAAATTTGCCAGACTAAATTAAACTAGCCATCCCTTACGCTTCATTAGCATTACCATTTTTGGAATCACCTTTGAGCATTTCATCGTTGCTCTTCCTGCTTTGGGTCTAGTCCCAAGGCTTATTCTAGAAGTATTCTGTCTTCCCCAAAAGGGCAGAAGACTGTTAGGACTCGAATCTTAGGCGTCGAACACAGCCCTGTTACCAGTGTGGCCTTTCAGACCGAGCTCAAGCATAAATGTTACAGACATTGTGTTTCCATGGATCATAAGTACCAGATGTCGAGGCCCAGTATGTCTTTTTCTGGCTCCTGCCTGGCCCTTTACGACGGCTTAAGTGTGTGTTCTCACTGTTGAAGCAAGACACTCCCGCCCCACCCCCAGCCCAGATCACCCAAGCCCGGCCAGTCTGCGGCAGCATTGCGTTCATTTTCCTCAACCCTGTTCACTGACTTTGCGATTGCTTTGCACAAACACTGTGGCCTTTCCGTAATCTTTGATGAAAAGAGCTTCATTTTTAAGTTTTGATTTGTCTGCGTCGTGGGCTACCCATCTGAGCCAAACTGCGGATCTGTAGGTGCGGCTTATTTTCTCTCTTTAATTGTGCACATCGCTGGGGTCCTCACAGCTGTAATTTGCCTTTCATCCACTTCAATGATGGCCCAAAGAAAACACAAAACAAATCCAGCCAGAGCAGAAGGAGGGGAGAGGGGGATGCCAGCTGATGGTCTTACAATCGGCAGGGAAAAGAATCGCCTTACATAAATAAATTAAAAGCTAAGAATAGTGTAGGATTTAATTAAGCCTGACATAGATCAGTTGCACTGAAGTATGTCTAGAGGTGAGATCTAATCAGAAACCCGCACCCTTAAAAGGTGTCAGGCCACATGCCTCAGCTAGAGTACGCTTGTGCTATGTGGGGGAGTTCCGTTTGGCCCCAGACCTAAGCACTGAAGAGATATGAAATTTCCAAAAAACAAAACCCCTTTTAGCAGAGTATGGCACCGTGGAGAATCTAGGCGCTTCCAGGCAACCAGCAGAAACCATTCTTGCCCCTAGCCCAGTGGGCAGAAGACCCAGAATCATTCTACTCTCTTCTGGGTAAAGTGATTGTTCTTGGGCTTTGCTGTCACTGACCTCCAAGAGCCAAAAAAACCTAAAGGCCCGTGGGCATTGGACCAAGAAATAGGAGAGGCTGTTTGAAAAATCAGCAATGGACATTCTAGTAGCAGTCTGAGTGTCGAGTAGGGAAACATCTTGTTTTGGAGGCTTACGACCAGAGTGGTTATTGATCCTGAAAGAAGTTGCTGGGGAAATTTTAGGATAATAACTGCCTGGATTTCTCACTCTCTCTTTAACTTACAAGTTATACACAACTACATCCTGGAAACATGCAAGTAACACAGAAGAAGCAGAAGTCCATTTCATTGCTAACCAGTCTCACTCTCTTCTCCAAAGAGAGTAATCACGAGAAACAGTTTGAGGTATCTCTTTCCAGGCTTTGATTTATACCATGACAAACATGTATGTTTGTGTCCAGTTAGTGTGGTTTGGTTGGATCGTGGTTTGGTTTTATTCTGCATAAATGATTTCACAGCATTTCCTCCTTTGTTGGACAACCTTCTTCCCTTTCCTTTAACAAAATCTTGACAATACTTCAGTCCACACCTCCAGACTTACCCCATCCTTCTTAGCTCTTGCATAGCATCCCATATTGTGTCGACGTACCGTATTTTATTAACTGCTCCCCTACTTGTGGGCATTTGGGTTGTGTCTAGTTCCCTTTTTTCCCTATGATAAACAATACCATGATGAACATCTTTGAGGTTGCCTCTTTGTGCACGTTTCTCTCCGACAGAATTTCTGGGTCAAACGGTGTGCCTAGTTTCACTTTAAGGGATGCTGCAAATGGCTGAGGCTTACCTTTTACAGTGCGTCTGTCCCATATGCAGGATAGTGGATCTCTAGTGGACATCCTGGGTTCTGTCCCCTGCCCCGTCTGCACAGGCCATGTAATCTCTGTGACTATCTCTCTTCCCTAAAGTGGGTGGAGTGCTTGCCAGAGGAGACTTTAGATAGTTTTAACTGCAGGGAATTGTAGTTGTGGGGACTTTTTCAAAAACTGTCCATTGGTGGAGGATGTGGGCCTGGCGGTATGTGGCAGCTCACTGGAGCTGTGGCCGCCGTGGCACAGGAGTTAACTCCATGCCTGGCTTCTGTAGGCAGAGCCCTATTCTCCATGATTAATGAGTTCCACTTGGTTTCTTCAAAGAGGGATTGTGCTGTGCCTTGCTCTTATTTATTTATGTTTTCTACTAAAAAATTCATGTAAAAAACATCCTTTAAGGTCAGTGCACAGTATTGTGCTGCAGACTAAAATATTCCAGCAGCCACAAGCAGGCCCACGAGCCGACAGAAAGTCTCCAATCCTTGTGGCCTTAGGACCGAGGCCCCCACACTGGGCCTGAGCGGAGCAGGCTCTCCGGGCCAAAAGGTGGCGTCCAGCTTTCTTCCGAGGAGGTTCGGGGCTGATGTGACCCAAGGAAAGTCATCAGGGGGGGTGAGGTGGCTTTCTAGTGGGAGGTTTATATGTGCAGGCCAAGCTGCTGGCCCCAAATGGCTCCAGCAAGGAATGGCAAGTAGAAGAGAAGCCAAGGGGCCTGTTTGTTCAAAACAGTTTCTTCCAAGAGCACCACCCTGATTTCTACTATGCGCTAAGACAAAGGGTTTAAATAATAGGACTTTGACTCTGAGCATAATGGACAGTGTCTACTGTCATATATGGGTTTTATGGGCTTTTTTCTCTGACCTGCCAAAAAATCCAGGACTTCTGCCTCTTGGGCATGGGGTTCAAGTAGATAACTCGGGGTGGCTCAGGAGAGAGAGCAGCATGAGCGTGAGGTATGGATGAGCTAGAGATATGTTACTGCAAACACGCACACACACACACACACGCCTTGTTTTGTCTTCTAATTGTGCAAAATTGAACTCTTTAAAGATCATTAACCAACATACCCCCTAAGCAAGGGCTCCGAGCCAGAACTGGAATGATAGTATACCATGTCTTGGCTGTCAGCAATCACGCTTTCTTTGTCAGGTAGCGGGACTCATTAACACGACGCCTGGACTGGAGTCCTCTGACTTGCTAGAGAGCAGCCGGCTCCAGTGATGATGGGAGTGCAGAGAAAGCTTTGAGCCAGAGGGGGCCTTGACCAACGTCCTATTCTCAGCCAGCCCGCCAGTTATTGAGGCTGCATTTCAGCAGACTGTTAAAGAACCATTTTGTCCCTTTGTGTTTCCTAACTGCCACCCAGGGGCTGGGAGAGGGGGTATGAGGACCTCAGGGGCCCGTGTGGACTCCCCATTGCTCCGCGTGGGCAGTTCTGACAGCAAGCACTGAGATGCGGAGAGCAGCATTAGGACCTAGACAGGGGCTGACGTGGGTTGTAAAAGCAGCCCCCCGACCAGGGAACCTCATCAGCCTCGGCCAACTGTAGACCAAGCGGGTAAGCTCAGGAATAGTGTTCATGGGAAGTCCAGGCCCACCACACTGTCATGGCTGTCTGGCTTTGCAACTCCTCATAGGGCCACCATCCCCTCCTCTTTCCCCGAGCAGGACCTGTCTCCGCCCGTCTGCCTTTGTGCCAGATGTTGCTCGTCTTCAACCTCCAGACTCCCCTTTCTGCATCATCCCCCTCTCCTGGGGCCCCCCCTCCTCCTCTCCTCTGTCATTGTCACACCATCACCAAACCCTTTCCCAGAAAAGTGTGGGGCAGATTCCCTCAAAGCTCAGTTGGTTACTTTCCTCCAAGGAGTTGCATTCTTACTGGAGACTAAATTATTCTCTTATGTGATAATTACAGTCCTTGGTCACCAGCAGGCTTCTGGGGGAAATCACCTCCTGAATGGGTAGAGAGAGGCACCTTTATGGAGCCCTTAACATCTCACAGAGTTGTCGATTCTTATGTTCTGAAGAAGAGCCTAGCTTTTAAGTATAACAAACTCCCTTGGTGAGATGCATAGGGTGTTTTCTTCAGGGACTTATGAAATATGAGGGGAAGCTTTAAGAAGGCATCTTAGGTCACATGGGGAGTGAACGCAGTTTTGTTTCTTCAGCTCCATCCTTTTGCTCACCCAGGTCATAGGGAACTATGCCACCTGAGTGCTGTTCCCGGTATGCACCTTTCCTGAGCATCAGGATTGGAGGAGAGGAGAAATGTCAAAGCCCACCGGGGGAGCTCTCTGAAATGTGAAAATGTAAGACTTTTATCTCAGGAAAAAATAAGATTGGGGAGAGACCCCTCTACCCTGAAATTTTATAGTTTCCTCACCTTCCTACTCTAAGAAGGTAGCCAACAAAAGAACAGCCTATTTCTTATTGACATATCTACTTATAGTCATGAAGAATGTCTCTGATTTTTCCAAGACTTAGGGTGGAGGACAGATTCCAGAATTTTCCTCCATCACCATAGCGGGGTTTTTCCAGCCTGCACAACTGTGAATCCCATCTTTACAGCAAAATATTTCTCTGGCTGCATTTTTCTTATTTTCACACCATTGTTGGGGCTCAGTGGAGCCATTCTGGCCTCAGCTGCTCATCCGCCTCCACACTTGAAAATATTAGTAGGTCATTTCAAAGCCTTCTCATTTGCAGTTGGTATTTCCAGGTCTTTTTAGTGTTTTCTCCTAGTTATTCAACTAAAAATAATAAAAAATAATGGCTAAATTCAAGTTCAGACTCCAGATATCTCAAACCAAGGCCCCCATGTTTTCCAGCTTGAAACCATTTGAAAACTCCAAAAGATATTTTTTCCATGACTTTGCATATATTTGGCTATCAGCCCAAGAGATAAAAACCCATGATAAAGGATCTTCTGATGGTGTTTCTAAACTGAAGCCAAACCCAGCAAGGGATAAATGGCTCTCAAGTACCCTGACTCCCTAATGGAGGAGCTTTGGCAAAGTTTTCATCAACATCTGAACTCTTGGCTCCTTGTAACAACTGGGGATGAACAAACTGACTTAGGGAAATTAAGTGTGGTCGGGCAGGGGGAGCTTCAGCCAATACTAAATGTTAAACTGAACTAAACACTTCGAAAGGCCAAGAAATATCTCCTGGTCCTTCATTATTTCTCATTTGTTTCAGTCTCGGTGTTATATCTCCTGCTGGGATCAAAACAAAATGGCTGAGAGAATTTTCTGAAGACTACTCCCGTCGGAACAGTCCAGTGATTTAGCTGGCTCAGGGGTTTCAAGAACTTGGAATCAAATTCAGCAAGGGTTCTAAGTAGCCAAAGAGCTTATCCCACATAAATCACCGCCCCAAACAAGGTGTCGAGAACGTGGCTTACGCACTTCACCACTGATCTGTTCAATGACTTACTGCATTTTTTGACCCTCCTTCCTCAATTTCTTCCTCTTTAGAAGTGTTGACACCTGTACCTGTGAAAATGAATGATTTCGATGATCCCCTGTGTGTAAGAGACTCTTCAATCCTTGCTTTAAAGGCCGGTTGCAGTTTGGTGGGTTAAGTGGCCATGTTATCACTGGTTTTATCAGTTGAGGTGGAGGCTTAACACTTGGGGCATAATTTACCCTCGTACTTCCTTGATTGCCAGTTAGCAGGGCTGGTTTCTAAGGCAAATGAGCAAGTATTGAAAACAGGGGACCTCGTGGCTTCCCCTTTACCTGTCCTTTTCGTGGTCTTCTCTTTCCACACACACCTTAAGATGGCTGCCTTCAGGGAGCAATGACCCAGGAGAAGACAGACCTGGGAGGAAGACTGAGGCAATGAGTAGTGTGGGGCCCTTTTCTGTGGGAGTCACCTTGTCTGCCTCAACCAGCAGCTTCTTGAGGGAGTCCTCATCTGAAAGGCCCTCTGACCCTTCTCATTTTCTTCCTGTAAGACACAGAATTCTAGAGCAGGGAAGAACGCCAGTGGTTACTTGGCAGAGGAGCAAACTGAGACTCAGGGGGTCTCACCCAGGCTCTCACACCTGGGGTGGATCGCCAAACTCAGACAAGAAGTAGGCAGCCTGTTCCCAGTGTAGTGCTCCTCCATAGCCCATGCTGCTTCCCCTCAGATACACAGCAACCAGGTCACTTAATCCACTGCTCCGAGTTGGCATGGAAGGGGCTCTTCATAGAAAAGTATGTTAGTTATCCTGCAATGATCCACATTCAAGTGACCCAGGAATGGGCTGTCCTAAATAATTTATCTAAAAATAGCCAGTGGTTTGGGGCAGGCTTCTCACTCCCCGAGCAATCTTGCAGAGCTCCTTTTACAATGCAGAAAGTAAACAGAACAACGTCAATGCCAATACACTCACAGGAGACCACAGCCTAGCAGAAGTTGGGAAAGTGAAGGTGGAAAGTTTTCTAAGAGTACTTGCAGAAAAGCAGTCTAACCCCAAAGAATCTTCATGTAAGATGGGGGGGGGAAATGGAAGAAAATGAGGGACAGCGGAAGATAAAGCGTGTGTGCATGTGCGCGTGCGTACACAAGGTGGGGAAGGAGAGAATGGGAAGGAAAGACCGAGAGAGAGCATTCCTGTTAGCAGCCTAAAGCATGCTCAGTGGGGAATTTCCCGGCTGCAGGTTGGAGTGTTGGGGGTGTTTCCCCTGCATAGCATGTGTGGTCTGACCAGGCAGCGTTCCAGACCCCACAGGGAAAAACACATCTCCTTAGAGTAGGTTTGGTTTGTAAACGGGTATGGCCTTTCAACTTTCGTACCATAGTGTTGCAGTTTACTGATAAGGACACTTGACAGTCTGTGACTCTTCTAGTGTGGAGGGAGTTTCTGGAACAGTGAGTGAATGTTTTCGTAACTAGCCCCTACAGGCCCCTTGCCCTGAAAAATCAGGACTAGAGGGGATGGGTAAGAACTTGAATCACTCTTCACTGTGTACCTAACCCACCTCTTGATGGTGCTAAGGGGAGGGGCTCCTGGAGAAACGGGACTTTGCAGCCAAGGCTTCTATCACAATATGAAAACGACCAGATTTTGTTGAATTGTGTTGTTTGTTTTTTAAGTGGTGGCCACTCTGCTCACTTGATGACTTGAACTCTATGAAAGTCCTTTCCAGTCCTGCATGAGTTCACTTCTGCCTTTCACCCTGCTGGCTCACAGCAGCTAGTCGGGGGGAGGAGCAGAGACCTGACTCTCGCAAAGGGAAATCCAGGTGGAAGATCTGTAGTCAGGCATGGCAATCTCTTTGAATTCCTTAATGGATCAGGTAGAAGTGAATTCAAGCCAACACCAAGGGATCAGTATATGAGTGAAACGACTCAGGTGCTATGTTTGGAACCATTCCTTTCCATAGATAAAGGAGCTAGAACTCCCCAACCCCTACCTCGCAGCAGCCTCGGTTCCAAAGCATCCTCCTCCCCACTCGCATGTTTCCCTTCCTGGCAGGGGCCCGGCCTCATGTGTCCAATCCCCACCCTGGACACCAGCAGCACTTGGAGTCCCCTCTACAATGCCCCGCTTTCTTTTCTGCTGTTTTGGCATGGACGGGTCTTTGCTTCCCAACCATGGTGAAGGGCCTTGATTGTAGATACCTGATCCCATACATCTTCATTTTTCAAAGTCCTCAGTGTGGTTCCCGGGCACCTTGTAAATCCCCTTTGTAAGTGATGGTTGGTTGATTGGTTGGTTAATGAAGACGGCCCTTGGAAGAACAAGGTAAATCAGGCTTCCCCCCTCTGAGTAACGCCTATCACAGAAAACATGAGCCTCAAATTTCAAATCAGATTTTCGCATTCGTGAGAAATCCTCCTGAGTTCCCATCAAAGTGGTGAGCTGACGATGCAGGCAAACAGCCAGAGAGTGTATATCCAGTCAACTAGGATCCATTACTAGCCTGTTAGAAGAGGTTAGTGATGATATGGTGGTAATTGCGGTGTCCTGTCTATATCCAAAGAACTCGCTGCTTGAGGGTGGGAGGCCTCCTCTGGCCCTAACACAGTACTAAGAGTCAGAATTCAGGCTTTGGAGTCAAACTGGCCTGAGATTGAATCTGCACAGGGTCCCAGAGGAAATCGGGTCATAGGAGCACAAAGGTTGAAAGTGGAAGTTGTGTGGGTGGTAAGATCTGTTCCTGATCTGTGTTATCCTATAGGTGTGGCCCATTCCACTCTCCCTCATCCATCTCCCACTCACAGATACACCCACCCACTGAACCGGAGTCCTAAAAGGTCCTCTCCAAGTTTGTCCTTTACAAAAAAGAACAATTCAATTCAATTCCGAGTCCCTGGTCCCTACATGCTTTTGCTGTCTTTTGCTATCAGGGCGGTGCTGCCTCCCCTCTGTGTCTTGAGCTCACCATTTCTCCCTCCTCTCTACCCTTGCCTTTTCTAGCTAGAACTACAGGGACCTGGCGGGAGAGCCACACTCCTTTCCTGCCAACATCCTGAGGAAACAGGCTCAGGTTTACCTATTGGGTTTAACAGAAAAGGAAAGTGGCCCGTGAAGGGCAAAGGGGCTTTTAAGAAAAAAAGCTCTTTATCAAACACAGATATCAAGAATATTAGCAAGGGGACTAGAGAAAATTGCTATCAAAGTAAATTGCTTTTTGTACAAATGTTCCCTTTATTTGGGTTTTCCCCAGTGTGCCATTCTTTCTTTAAGGCTTGGTGAACAGATGCGCTTTTGAAAATGTTGATTAACTTATCCTTTTGTCGACCCCTTCCCACTCACCTAAACTCCTGGGAGCAGTGATTATACAAAAAGCCAAGTCAAGCCTCTACAGTGTTCTTCTTCACCTTGAGTAGCCTTTCATTCTCCAGGTGCAGAAATCTCAGCCACATCTGGGCAATCAATTTCAGAGAACCTTAGAAATGGACCGGTTCTTGCGAGGTCATCTCATCCAGTCCTCTATCTCCAGAGACAAGAGGCCGTGATCTCCTGGGGCGAAATGTTCTCATACTCATTACCATCCTTTTACCCTTTATCCTTCAAGATCAATGCCACATACACCCCTTTCTAGCCGTGATCAATAGTGTCCTAAGAGTTCTTCCCTGAGGGTATGAGATGGAGCAAAATGGCATTCTAGCCTCCAAGAATCTGTCACATCCTTGGCAGAAACCAAATCCCTAAAAGCAAGAACAGGATTTGGCCCAAAATTCACTGGCAAGAGCCCCACAGTTTTTGTGCTAGGCAGATTCCCATATTCTTATCCAGTGTTCTGCATCTTTTAACCGTGAAGGTGTTAAGGCTTATGAGCATCCCGTCAAAACAATTAATTGTTGGGAATGTGATGGTTTTCGT